TTTTTAAAAAAATCATTTTTGTATAGTTTTTGTATAAAATTTTGTAAATAGATAATTTTTCTTCATAAATTTAAGTCAAAATGTATTCTGCTACATTTTTAAGGGTAAAAATAACCCAAAAAAAAGTTTGAAAGCTATAAAGTCTACAAACTATGGGATATATATTTGAAAATTGATCAGTTGATATCCTAAAATACTGGATGCTGGCAGTGATCAGGATGCTGGTATGGGGTATGGCAATGATCAGTATATTGGCATGAGGTATGGTGGTGATCAGGTCGCTGGTATGGCAGTAGCCAGGATGCTGTTTTGGGGTATGGGGGATGATCAGGATGCTGGTATGGGGTAAGGCTGTGATCAAGATGCTGGTATAAGGTATGTTGGTGATCAGAACGCTGGTATGGGGTATAGCAGTAATCAGGATGCTGGTATGGCATATGGGGTGATTGGGATGCTGGTATGGCGGTGATCAGGATGCTGGTATGGGGCATGGGGGTGATCAGGATGCTGGTATGGGGTAAGGCGGTGATCAGGATGCTTTTATGGGGTAAGGCGGTGATCAGGATGCAGGTATGGGGTATGGCAGTGATCAGGGTACTGGTATGGGGTAAGGCGGTGATCAGGATGCTCGTATGGGATATGGTGGTGATCAGGGCACTGGTATGGGGTATGGCGGTGATCAGGATGCTGGTATGGGGCATGGCAGTGATCAGGGCATTGGTATAGTGCATGGAGGTGATCAGGACACTGGTATGGCGGTGATAAGGACATTGGTATGGTGTATGGGGGTGTTTTGTGCACACTGGGACAGGTGACAGGGCCTCCCTGCATTATGTATATACTGGGGCAGTGATCAGGGACACAGAGGCACTATACTGACAGGCTGCTGTACACTCACACACTGCAGGATTGCTTCTCTCTGCTCTCACACAACATGTGATTATATACTTTGTTACTTTTCTGAGAGAATTTAATTTGTATATCAGGGGATTGCATAGGATGAAGGAGGATTTAAATCATCAGTGGAAAGGGGAAAGAGAGCGCAATCATGATAAAGGAGACCCCATTATATGGGGAAGGCTCATGAGGCCTATTATTGGGTCAAAACTTTAAGGTGAGAGCATATGGAAACTGGTGATGGGATAAATGCACATGGTGATAAGAATTTAAAGTGAAGAAATATAAACGCGCCAAGGAATTGACATTTTTTTGCTATTGGTATTATCACATGAATATAAGAACTATATTATAGAATTCATCTCATATAGACATTTGGGACTTTGTTTAATCACATTTTATTTTTCATGAATATGAATGTGATATATGTTGCACTAGTATGTGATCATTAGGATAGCACACTTTATATTTGTACTGTGTGACACTGTCATAAAGGTTCATTTATAGGTTCATCCTTGTGCTTATTTATCTGGTTAATGTCTTCAGCAGATTAAGGAATCCTTTTCCGAATGGGGACATCTGCTGGAAAGGGCTAATCATCCTGTAACTGTTCTCACTGGTCATAAAAATTGGGAATTCATTTGTTCTGCAAAGAGATTGTCTGTCTTCTAGACAAGCACATTGGTCTCCTTTCTTTTCCTGGTTTAATTGTATTATCTTGTATCTACCTGGATCAGTGAATGAATTTAGGACATTGTCTGAGACTCTTCAGGAAGGCAACTCTGAATATACAATCCTGCCTCAAAAGAATTTCCTAGGGGCCACAAGTTCTATGACATTCTTAAGTCTCCTCAAAGGAGGGTATGAGAATGACCCACTGACAATGACCCATCATCCTCCTAAGAATGTTAACCTTGAGTACAAGAATGGATTTGGACTCAAGCACATCATTTCTATGTACCTGAATAGGTTAGGGTAGAAGCCCTCAGGTTGGTGAATGTCTCTAAGCTTGCTGAGCATTTTGGACTTTCTATGACAGAAGAATTTTTATCACATTTCTTTTGGTGGCCTGGTTACAAGAAAGATGTCACGAAGTATGTGGCCTTGTGTTTGACCTGTGCACACAGTAAGACACTCCAATCTTCTCCTTTTGGGGTTACTTCAACCACTCCCTGTTCCTGCAAGACCTTGGGGGTCAATTTTAATGGACTTTGATGTCAATCTTCCTCTCTAGAAAGGGATGATCACTATCTTAGTAGTTGTCAACCACCTCACTAAGATGGCTCATTTTTTTATACCTGCTGAAGAAATTGCATTCCTGAGTTGATGGTCTGAAAAGTCTTTAAACTACATGGAATTCCTCATGATGTGGTGTCAGACAGAGGAGTACACTTTTTTGTTTCTAAATTTTTTTAAAGCTTTTGCTCAGCTTTAGGTGTAATAAATAATCTGTCCTCTGCTTTTCATAAGTTTAATGGTCAGACCTAGAGCACCAATCAAACTTTGGAACATTACCTTTTGTCAGTTATCTTCAGGATGACTAGGTGGACTTTATTCCTATGGCAGAGTTTTGCCTAAAACAATTCTAAACATACTGTAGCTCCACTGCTCAAAATCCCTTTTTCTTAAATACTGGGTATCATCCAGTTTTTATTCCTGATCTCCCTATCTCCACTCCAATTCCTGCTGCTACCAACAGAATACTACAGTACATTACAGGATATTCAGGAGAAATTGAGTGCTACTTTGAAGGAGGCTCCGGAATATTACAAAAAGGCCACTGACAGACATTGCAGATTATTCACTACTTTTCATATGGGTGACAAAGTTTGGTTATCTCCAAAAATTTGAAGGTTCATGTGCTATCTTCTAAGCTGGGTCAAACGTTTGTGGGACCTTTTCACATCTCTGCTAAAATCAGCCAGGTCATCTTTCACTTAAAACGTTGTGACAGTATGAAGATTCTGTTTTTCACATATCCCTACTCAAACTGTTTAATGAAAATCCTTTTTCTGGAAGACTTTTTCCACCTCCTCCACCTGTTGAGGTGTAGGGTGAAAAAGAATTTGTGACTGAAAGAATTCTTGATTCCAGGATCTTATGGAACAAATTACAATATCTGGTTCAATCATAAAGGATATGGATCAGAGAAAGATTCTGGGGAATTCTGCAGAGATTCAAGCCTTCAATTGATCCATAGCCCAATAACCCCCTCTCCATTTGAAATGACATATGTGAAGCCTCTGAAACCCCTTGTGAGACTTCCCTAACTATCATTAGAGGTCTGTAGATGTGGCAGATGCAGGAAAATGATATGAAGATCTTGCAAGTAAAGAATAAATAGAAAAAGGGCAGACCTTTTGCTTCTGTCTCATTGAATTGTTGCTCCTGCCAAGCTCCGTGTTGCAGAGTCATATGTTTTGTCATGTAGGTGGTACCCAAATGGCTGGTACATTTACCACAACTAATATGCTGTAGAGAGTGGCTGCAGACAAAACAGTGCTGTCTGCAGCAGATACAGTATGTGTGTGTGTGTAAATGCTGCAAAATAAGAATGTTTTCAAAAAATATATACATTTTAATTGTTTTATTTTAATCAATTAGAAAAATAGAAAGTGAGCAAACAGAAGAAAAATCTAAATAAAATGGATATTTAGTGTGACTACCCTTTGGCTTCAAACCAGCATCAATTCTTCTAGGTACACTTGCACACAGTTTTTGAAGTAACTCAGCAATCTGTACCTGGGAGAGACCATACTAATGCAGTATAACTACCTTGTGTCTTGTTGCTGTGACCCGTCTTCCCATGGTGTATGCTCTGTGACATGAAACTGTATTCTACAATCTCACTTTAGTAACACAGCTTGGCTTCCTCACCCAGTTTTAAGCCTCCTACACAGCTGTTTTTATTTCAGTTATTGGCCGTGTTTCAACCTACATATGAAATTGATGATCATTAGCACTTGCTTAAAAGAATTGGTTAATCATTCACCTGACTCTAATCCTACAAAATCCCTGACTTTATGCACCTGTACAAAGTGTGCAAGTGTTAGAAATGATGCTGGCTTGAAGCCAAAGGGTAGTCACACCAAATATTACTTTGATTTAGATTTTTCTTATGTTTGCTCAATTTCGTTTTGTAATCTGATAAAAAGAAACTATTAAAATATATTTTTGCATGCATTCTTAGTGTGCGTGTGTGCGTGTGCGTGTATATATATATATTATACACACTTTATTGACAAAAGTATTGGGACACCTGCCTTTACACGCACATGAACTTTTAAGGCATCCCAGTCTTAGTCCGTAGGGTTGAATATTTAGTTGGCCCACCCTTTGCAGCTATAGCAGCTTCAATGCTTCTGGGAAGGCTGTCCACAAGGTTTAGGAATGTGTCTATAGGAATGTTTAAACCTTCTTCCAGAAATGCATTTGTGAGGTCAGGCACTGATGTCGGACGAGAAGGCTCACAGTCTCCATTCATTCATCCCAAATGTGTTCTATCGGGTTAACGTAAGGACTCTGTGCAGACCAGTCAAGTTCCTCCACCCCAAACTCACTCATCCATGTCTTTATTCACCTTGCTTTCTGCACTGGTGCGCAGTCATGTTGGAACAGGAACTTTCTGCACTGGTGCGCAGTCATGTTGGAACAGGAAGGGGCCATCCGCAAACTGTTCCCACAAAGTTGGGAGCATGAAATAGTCCAAAATGTCTTGTTATGCTGACACCTTAAGAATTACCTTCACTGAAACTAAGGGGCCAGACGCAACCCCTGAAAAACAACCCCACATCATAATCCCCCCTCCACCATACTTTACTCTTGGCACAAAGCAGTTAGGCAAGTACCGTTCTCCTGGCAACTGCCAAACCCAGACACGTCCATCGGATGACCAGACAGAAAAGTGTGATTTGTCACTCCAGAGAACATGTCTAGTCCAGTGGCGGCATGCTTTACAGCACTGCATTCGACGCTTTGCATTGCAGTTGGTGATGTAAGGCTTGGATGCAGCTGCTCAGCCATGGAAACCAATTCCATTAAGATCTCTACCACACTATTGTTGTGCTAATCTGAAGGCAACATGAAGTTTGGATGGTCTTTAGCTATTGACTCTGCAGACAGTCGGTGACTTCCGCGCACTGTGTGCTCTGTCATTTTACGTGGCCTACTACTTCATGGCTGAGTTGCTATTGTTCCCAGTTGCTTCCACTTTGTTATAATACCACTAACAGCTGACCATGGAATATTTAGTAGCAAGGAAATTACACGGATGGACTTTTTGCACAGATGGCGACCTATCACGGTACCACATTTGAATTCACTGAGCTCCTGAGAGCGACCCATTCTTTCACAAATGTTTGTAGAAGCATCCTACCTGCCTAGGTGCTTGATTTTATACACATGTGGCCTTGGAGGTGATTGGAACACTGGAATCCAATGATTTGGTGGGGTGTTCCAATACTTTTGGCAATATAGTGTATTTTTCAGTAAATTATTCCTTCATTTTTCTGCCAGAGAGAGAGAGACTCTGATGACAGAGGTATAGCTGTCTTACATTCTCTATGTGACCAGTGGCCACCTTGCTTTGTGTTAGTAGGTAATTAGCTGATTAAAAAGATTGTTCATTACACTACAAGCAGCCTGACTGCATTAAATTAAATCACATTTATTAGAATTTTGGGCTTTTTTGGATTGATACGTTGATACTAAGGTATATCCTCTATATGTTTTACGGTATTTTCATGAAATATTTCCTTATGCATGATCTCCTTAAAAAATGTTTAATGCTTATAGATGTTTCAGATTTACTGAGTTTATAAGATGGAACAAATTTTTAGACCTTGCGTTAAAAAGTTAAAACGTTTCATCTGTACCATTAAATGCCATAATGTATTTATTATATATATATATATATATATATATATATATATATATATATATATATATATATATACATATACACACACATATACACACACACACACACACAGCTATTGTTTTAATCAATTTTAATTTCATCCAACACAGCTAGATGTTCTTCAAGTAGATCCATATCACCATTTGACATCACCTGTAGACAAATTTCTTCACTTTGGCACTCTTTGTTATTTTGGGCTTCTTGTGTAACTCTATACTTTAACAATGACCCACTATCAGTTGTCTGATTAGTTCTTTGATAAAATGTACATTTCCTCCAGCCATATACACCAGCTCCTATGGCAAGACACAGGCAAGCTGCAAATGCAGCAGCTATCATTACAGTGGTGGTACTTCTTTTCACAACAGTTGTGGAGTAAGCCTGGCTAGTGTCTTCCTCCTGAACCCTGGAACTGGTCACATGAACCAAATTAGATATCTCAGACCTTTGCCCATTTTTATCAATAGAGCAGATTGCAATATAGGTGATGATGCCCTGGTCTGCAGTCATGTTTCCCAACCTAAATATGAAGGTCTCCCTGCTGCCTGCATTCTTCGGTTTGATGTAAGAAGTATTGATGACTGTAGCGCTGGAAAACTTTTGCCTTAAAATGAATGGATTGACACTTATTCGAATGTCATAATCTGAAGCTGCAAGAAAAACAAAAATATGACTTAATTTATGCTTTTCCTATTTTGAAGCTGTATGGTTTTTTGTCTACTTATGGTAACAGAAATATTTTAGTATCTGTTTTTAGGTAGACCTATTTATTTTAAAAGTTTAAACCGCAGTTTTAAATAAAGTTTTTCCTGAAAACTGTGAATAAAAAAAGACAGATCCAATTTTTCAATGACAAATTTAAAAAACACACACTTACAGATTATTCTAACAAAAACTATACATCTAATTAGGTATAGTACCACTCACAAAATTACAGTGGTTCTAAAAGCTGAACACATTCTGTGTGCTGCCCCCTCCCCCAGCCCCCTGAATACTTAACTGAGCATGATTTCTATCTAGCAATGTGCATGAGAGCAACAGCTCTCCTGGCTCTCTCCCTCCTCATTGGCTCCTGACAATGAGGAAGGATCAAAGGGCAGGGCTGAGCTCAGAGACATAGTGGATGGAGCTTGGGAACAAGCATGCCAGAGTGCCCCATTGCAAGCAGCATGCTATGAGAGCACTCAGCAGGGAGAAGAAGCCAGGAGCACCGACAGGGGACCCAAAAAGAGATATTTTGGCACAGTGCAGGTAAGTATGACATGTTTGTTATATACTGTATTTTTTCTTAATTTACCTTTTTAGTATCACCTTAAATATTACTTAAAGGAATAAGCACGTGTGTTCAAAAATCTTAAATTGCAGCTTACAGTCCTTCTGTGTTAGTATATGAGTCGGCATAAGGTCTAGTATTAAAATGTAATCTGTCAAATACTAAAGTAAATCTAAAGCCCAATTTTTTTATTTTTTTCCCCTTTTGAATAGTGAGTGCAAGTCCATCAGGTTTTCAATGCTGTATGTGAAATCACTGTATTTCCCCCATCCAATATTTTGGCCTGATGACCATTGTCATTGGGACAGAAATGGACAAAAAAAGGTTACAGTTGTCACCAGAATGTGAGTATAGGGAAAATCTTCTTTCATAATAAATGGTTTTGGGACAACTGTTTAAATGGTGTTTCTCCTTGTTTCCTGTAGTGTATTTGGGACAGGAAGGCAAGCATGGGTGGATATGGGGGGTGCCCCCAAATTTCAGCTGTGAACCCCTCCCCCCCCCCCCCCGGCGAGTCACAGACTTTATTCAACAGGAGAAGCTTTCTGCAGTGGCTCACATAGCCCAGTCTCACACAGCCCAGCCAGCACCCCCCCCCCCCACCTTCCCTACACGGGCAACAGGGGAAAGAGGTATTGGTGTGCACTGCCTCCTCCTGCCCCTTTCCTCCTGTCTGCCCCTCCCACTCCCCAATTTCTGGCCAGTGCTGAGCCTGATAAGATGTTTGGGAAGGAAATTTGAAGCAGTGCAGCCAGCAACTACATGGTGGCTGCCTGAATGACACCTCTGCCTGAGCCATCATAGACTAGCCTGGGGTGAGTGAGTTCTGCTCTATGACTGAACTTTCCCCATTTCTCTCCCCCCCCCTCTCTGTTTATGTACAGATAACACTTAGGGGCAACTTTACTATTATTGGTAGATGGCTGACAATCTGCTGGTTGGATAAACTGATGGAGTAATTACAAGTTTCTGTTTAACTCCTTCCTACCCAGCCCCAGCATCCCTTTAGGGGCTGGTTCACATGTGCTTTGGTCTCTGAAGAACAACCTGAATTCAGATTGCACTTCAGAGAGCATTTGGCAGGCAGTGAGGAGTCACCTCCCCACCACCTGATTTAACCCCTAGAACCCCACACTTGCACACTGTAATGCATGCATTGCACGCAGTTGTGGGGTGCTCGCAAAACAGCCTCATTCACTTGAATGGGTCACTTTCAGCAGGCACTGTGCCCACAGAAAGCAACAGTGGATATAATTCCTACCATGGTCACAAAACATTACAGTGGTAGTATGTGTACATCCCAACCCTGTGTCACCAACCTTCTGTAAATTTACAGACAGTTTGTATAAAACAGACATTTTGCGCCTAGCCGTGGACAGGAGAAAAGAGCCCATAAAAAATCTCTTTGTCATGGGCTCTGACTGGGTAGCACTTTGCTGGACTCTCATGTAAGGGGGCACTTTGCCAGACTGTGATGTAGGGGGAATCTCTGCCTGACTATCATGTAAAGGGGACACTCTGCCAGACTCTCATGTAAGGGGGAAACTCTGCTGGACTCTGATGTAAAGAGGGATTCTGCTGGACTCTGATGTAAGAGGGAACTTTGACAAACTCTCATGTAAGGGGGGCACTCTTCCAGACTCTGATGTAAGGGGGGACTCTGCAGAGGTCCTCCCTTATATCTGTGCCCCCAGAGTGACACCATCTTTTGTTTTGTTTATTATTTGTTTTGTTTATTACTTACTCCTGCTACCAGCGCATTTAGATACACTGCTCATTAGGCAACCAGTCTGCCCATACTGTACATGGATCAAAATTCAACCAGACCCGACAGAACCGTATAAATTTTGATCTATGCATGGCCGCTAAAAGACAAAAATATCCTTTTTGTGTTCATTAAAACATATGTAATGGAAACATTTAATTTAAAAAAGTGTTCCTTTGTCCTGAGGTTTATTTGTGTCTGTGAGCCTGTCAGTTATGGCACAGTATTTAGAATGTTGTGGGTACAAGGACTGTAGTATAGGTGTGCATTTTTACAGCAGGCACAGATTCCGTTTAATTCCCCTTTAAGACCCTCCCACTGGCCGGCTGCAGAAATGATTTCTCTGTTCTTTCCCAGGGTGCTCCATGTCTTTCATAACCACAGTCTTGCTCACATTTTGTCATCCTGTTTTGACTTTTTAATTGCAAAGACAGTCAGATTACTTGTTATTTGTAATGTACAGCGCTGAGCGAACTATTGGCGCTTTATAAATACTGTATAATAATAATAATGAGTATTGTTAATATTGTCAATGTTAACATATCGTTTATACTGCTGACCCCTGTACACTCCCTTGCTGTCCACCCATCCTCTGCCCTGGTGACCCACTACACACTGCCCTCCCATCCTCTGCCCTGCTGATCCCCTGCACACTGCCCTACAAACTTCTGATCCCTGGCCTCTGCTCGGATAACCCCCATCCTCTGCCCTGCTGACCCCCAGTACACTCCGGTACTTAGTCCTGTTTTTGTACACTGACCTGTTGACCTCCCATCCTGACATTTTTTACTGCACCATGACATCCGACTAGCTAGATCCGGCCCTGAACTCTCTCTTATGGGACACAAATAGAAAAAATATTTTAAAAAATAAATTAAAAAGGCATTTTAGCCACTTTCTCTATCCGAAATGTTCTTTAAAGTTTTGGAATGAAATACAGTATGAAATACAGGAATAAAACAAGTTGTGTGTTTATAGCAAAGAAAACTCACCAGCTCCCTGGTCATAGTCTTCACCCGGCGCTGTCCAAAACAGTACTACATGTTCATTCTCCATTTTCGCTTCAAGGTCATTTATTTTACATGGAGGGAAACCATCCTTATCCATTGAGTTGTGAGAGACATTCATAACTTTGAAACTACCCAGAAACAGGACTCTGCTGAACATTTCATTTGCACTTTGGCATTTATAAACTGGTCGAGGAGGATTCATATTGATGGTGCCTGCAATAAATATTTATAGTGCAATCTAAATACTAAAAGATGATGTCTATATGATGTAGCCTGGCATCTTAGCATTATTCTGTTTAGAAGCTCACCATTTTCAATGTAACCAGGAACATACAGGGCTGGATTGCTTTGAGGAGGCTTCAGGAAGGTAGTGTTTGTCCACTCAGCAAACATTTTCAGAGTATGTCTACCATTACTAGTGAAGCGAAATAAATAAACAGAGTAGACACCATCACCTTTGGTAACATCAGCACCTACAGAAATTGTAGATAGACATTATTAAATGTATGTCTATATCATTTTTCAGTATCTTGTTTTCATTTAAACACATGAAATATTTTAAAGGGAATCAAAACTAGTCTGAATCTAGGTGGCAGGGTGAATCACTGACCTGCAGAGAAAAATTATAATCCCAACCTTGACACTACCTGCCTGGAGTTTGCATGTTCTCCCTGTGCCTGTGTGGGCTTTCTCCAGGTACTTCAATTTCCTTTCCCAAAGACCTGCTGGTGGGTTAATTGGCTTCTGTCGAAATTGGCCCTAGTGTGTGTATGTATGATTGTGAGTTAGGGATCTTAAGACTGTACGTTCCTTGAGGGCAAGTACTGATGTAAATGTGCAATATATATGTGAAGCGCTGTGTAAATTGACAGTGCTATATAAGTACTTGAAATAAATAAATTAATAATACCTAGCAATTGTGTATGATGATTGAAATTATGTGCACACAACTGCATAAAGTACAACTAAAATGTACCTGGAAAAATTGCTGGTAATTAAGAGGGTTTTTTTGGTAGAGGAGGCATGCAAAGTCTATTTTTCCCCTCCAAAAATGTTGCTGCCAAAATTTTTTTTCCTTATGTACACTGCACAACACATGCATCCAATGGAGTAATGACTACAGCCTGGAGGAACATGCCAAGTCGCCATCGTTGGCAAATATGTTATACATACTTGCCCATTATGGGGACAGCTCAACCACACACAGATTTTATTTCCGTGTTAACTTCACTCTGTGCTTCACTATGTATGTTCAGTAACAGAATGGTGATGTCAGGAAATATAATACAAAGTACTTTAATCAATACATAGCTTTCAGTTCTATTCTTCATTATTGCCCCTCTCTATCTCTCCCTCTTTTACCCAGATTTTTCAGAGTGGTGTTAAAACAAGATTTAGCTATTTAGCCACAGTATATCCATGAATCTGGTAAAGTATATCTAAACCCAATCAATAAAATCTAATGTATGAAACAAAACAGTCAGGCGTTAGTTCCCTTTAATTGTTGCCCTTCCTTTGTTGATTTAGGGGGTGGAGTTAGTAATCCTTTATATGCCAGCTCTGGGTGGGGTCCTGAGTAGATAGGGTATAGGAACAGGGCTCCCTTGCCCAGCATGATATAAACCTCTGTACTGTTAGAGAGAGGAAGAGAGCCCTCGGCAGGGCTGAGCCTCCAAAATAACCAAATAGGACACAATGGGGACAGAAAGAGAAACTTCTCCAAATCTGACCCTCTCGACTAGCGGGTTCTGCGGCTCGACTTAAGGCTGCTTTGGGGCCTACATGAGGAGCAACTTTTGTGTAAGGGGAAAGTACACACTGAACTAAAGGGACTACTGTCAGGAAGTTATAAAATGAGATATAGTGTTCTGCTATAGAAATTTGTTGTCGAGTAAGTCATAAACTTTTTATTGTCTTGTGAAGAAGTGGTGTCATTGTGCCAGTGTGAGTTACAATGTGTATTCTGAGTAACAGGCTTCAGGCCAAGAATATTTGTGGCTGGGGCCAGGAAAGTGTGACACAATACGGCAGAGTATTTCTAAACAACAGGGAGGTGACTATTCCATCCAAGAAGTGGGTTGGGTCCAGATTTAGCAGCAGCAGCCAAATTAGGGAATTTTACATGCAGGAGATCAGCAACATTGAAATGCAAAATTGAAATGCAAAATTGAAATGCAAAAAAAAGAGGTGAAAATGGTTAAAACAAGTAGTTTATGAAAAACGACATATGAGGCCTTTGGAAAATTAATATTCTCTAGTTAGGGTTTAGATCTTCTTTAAAGACTGGACCATCTGAGCTAAATACAATATGGAAAAGAGGGAGAGAGGTGCCTTGTGAGTGCAGTATATGGGTGAAATGTATTGAGCTACAGTTAAAAAGACTTGCAAGAAGAAGATGATAAAATCATCCATAATAAGGGAAGGACATCCAGGGCGATTTTATCACCTTCTTCGTGTAAGTCTTTTTAACTATGCACTCAGAAGGAGCCTCTCTCCCTTTTTTCCCTTTTGTATTTCCCTTTAGAGTTTGGCATACTCTGGGATCTGGGTGTTCTGATTCACCATGGTTATTGGACTTTTATGGACTTGTTTACACATCATATATTATGATCTATAAGGGTCACCTACTTCTTGTGTGCTAATTTTGTATGTGTATTGTGTTTTGCCATCTGAGTTAACATCTATTTTTTTTCAGTTTTACATTGGGTAGGAAAGAGTAAAAAAAAACTCCTTATAGGTTGTTTTGCTATTGCCGTCTATGTCCTGCTGAGGAGATCGTCCCTTCCTGTCCTGGAAACGTAGCATGAATTCCCATCTTAGACAATTGTCTTCAATGGATGATTTCCCTCACCTGTTGCTCTGGTACACTCCAAAGACATGCTGGTAGGTTGATTGGACCCTGTCTAAATTGGCTCTAGTATGTATGAATGTAAGTTAGGGACCTTAGATTATACGCCCCTTGAGGGTTAGGGACTGATGTGAATGTATAATATGTAAAGCACTGCGTAAATTGATGGCGCTATATAAAGTACCTATAATAAATAAGGAAGTGACACTTCCCAGCAGGGACACAACCAGCAATCAAAACCTGACTGAGGGTGTAACCTTGCCCCAGTCTATCCAAAACTAAAAATAAAATTTATTGCCTTTACATACAGTTTTATTCATTTGGTTTAGTCTTTGCTAGCTGGAGTTTAAATCGAAGGAGGATGGTTGGAATATAATAACAAATAAAGTATATAAAAATACAGTGTAGGTTATTTACTGAAGCTGGAGAGTACAAAATCTGGTGAAATTCTGCATAGAAACCAATCAGTTTCCAGGTTTTATTACCAAAGCTTAAATGAACATGCTGAAGTTAGAAGCTGATTGGCTACCATCCGCAGCTGCACCAGATTCTGAGTGCTCCAGTTTTAGTAACTGTTTTAGTACATCTCCCGCAGTGTGTGCAGTTTGTTCTCAGGTAAGCAAAGATTCTGTGATAGACTTTGTTAGTATTTACTGATTGAATGAACCTATAAAAAATGGGTCTGGTGTACCTGCTCCATCATCAAGGAGTCTTAAAGTGAGAGGATCTCCAGTTTCTGGTTCAATGACAGCAGTCACATTAGCTCCGAGCACAGCCGTAAATCCATGTTTAACCTCTGCAAATAATGTAACTGGATGCGGAGAAGTGGTTGTATTGTTGATTTTTCCAGCAGTAACACGTACAAATGGCATGACTTCAGACGATGGTCTTGAGATAACTAGAACACCAAGCGCCTGACTGTCATTTAAGTTGTTTTTTATTCTATATAGCCATGTGCCGCTCTATACAATTAAAACATAAGAAACTTTACAATAAAATAGGAATTTTCAACATTCGAGATTAAGGAGGCACAATTAGCTAAGTACAGTACATGAAAAACTGTCTGTGATTTGCTCTTTCTTGAAGGTTTATGTAGATTGGCAAATGCAACATTCTTTCAGCTACATCCACCTTGTATTTAAAGTGTTTGTGAACCCTAACAATCAAATTCACCTATTTGTCCTCTTTTACTCTGGTAAATATGCCATTGAAAGTATTTTGTTATATCTGTTCAATCAGTGCAAAAAACCTTTTTCATCTTGCTATAATGTGTTCCGTGCACATTTCTTGTGTTATCTTAACATGGTATTAACCCCAAAGCCAAACGTGTTATATTGCAGCTTACCAAACATTAGATGTGGTGGCTGTATCTGTATTCTTTTCTTTTGGCTTTTTTACCCTCTGTTTTCACCTGGTGATCTGGCCAGTAACATACTGCCGGAATTAGTGAGACACCACTTTGGAGGAATGAGCCAGGAGATAGCAGACAGCAGCATAGTCAGTCTGGGGGTGTTAAATGTATTAGCAGATTTGAATACAAATAACAAATTGAAGAAAAACTTCAACTAACACTTTATAATCAGTCGTAGCAAACCTTTACTTTTGGGATAAAGGTTTTACACGAATAAATAAAAGTTGATAATTTTAATCATCCCTGCCAGCGATAAATGGATGGTCTCATCCATGTAAATTGTACATTCTGTTGGACAGCTTGAACATCTGAAAAACAGCAGAGTTGCTGGCTAAATCACCAGGTGAAGAAAGAAAGCCTAAAAAGGAAACTAATCCAGCTATTACATCTAAGAATTGGTAAATTTGCTTTTGGTTATTTATTGCTTTAAAAAGTCTAAGTAGCCTTCTGAGTTTTAATTTTGGACTACAGAACAATTGTACCCCCATGTGGTCTTTTTTTATTTGAAATACACTTTAAGATCATTTTCATAAACTTCTCAGACCCATCCACCCAACTCTGACCTCCTTCCGACTTCTTTCTAACTTACTTTAAAATGCTTTTGTAATCCAGTTGTTTTGTATGTATAGAAAAGTAGTTGTCGTGCAAATACTTGTGTACATAAGCCCTCTTTTTTTCCTTTTTTTGTCAGATACAATCAAAATATTGCATAGTTTGTGCTTTTAATTTTCAAAGAGTATGTGTAGCTCTAGGATCTTTTTCATGTATTTGTCAGACAACTTAATCTGCATTAACCACTTGGTAACCACGATATAGCTGAATGACAGCTACAGCACGGTTATCCAGATCTGAACGTGCCCTCCCGCGCGACCCCAGCAGCACGCACCCAGCAATCTTTATGATCGCTGTGTCCTACAGACACGGCTGATCACGTGATGAGGTAAAAAGCCAATCACAGAGGCCTTTTATCACGTTATCAGCTGTGTTCAATGACACAGCAGATCACGGCGTAAATACAGTTTCCGGTTATTGGCAGCACTTTCTTCACGCTGTCACAACGTGAGGAAAGTACTGACAATAACCGACAGCTGTCACAGAACAGATCAGCACTGATCATCAGAGCACTGATGATCAGTGCCGCCCAGCAGTTGCGCCCATCAGTGCCCAGCAGTGCCACCCATCAGTGCCCAGCAGTGCTGCCACTCAGTACTGTTAGTCAGCACCACCCATTAGTGTCGCCCACCAGTGCCGCCTATCAGTTCCCATTATTACTGCATATCAGTGCAGCATCATCAGTGCCTCCTCATCAATGCCCACCAGTGGCGCCTCATCAGTGCCACTTCATCAGTGCAGCCTATCAGTGCCCATCAGTGCTGCCTATCCGTGCCACCTCATCAGCGTCCATCAGTGCTGCTGATCAGTGCAGCCTCATCAACGCACATCAGTGAAGGAGAAAAATTACCTGTTTGCAAAATTTTAGAACAGAAACAAAGAAAAACTTTTTTTTGTTTTCAAATTTTTTGCTAATTTTTTGTTTATAGTGCAAAAAATAAAAAAACCCAGCGGTGAATAAATACCACCAAAAGAAAGCTCTGTGTGTGAAAAAAATTATAAAAATTTCATATGGGTACGATGTTGTATGTCATAAAAAATGCGACAACACTGAAAGATGAAAATTGGCCTGGGCATGAAGGGGGTATAAGGGCCCGGTAGGCAAGTGGTTAAAAAGTTTTTCAGTTTAGAGAGCTTAATAGCTCAAGCTGAATTTTGCACACAAGTTGAATGAAGGCCGGGAAAGTTATACTGGATTAAGGATATTGTCAACTGCACATGCAAATGCTTTGGTGCATGGCCTTCCACATAGGATTGTGATTGGGCATGCACTTCTAGGTATGGGTGTCAGCATTTGTGCGCATGCTTCATAGACCCCTGGTGTCCATGTGCACTTGTGCATGTCTTGAAGCTGCACTGGGGCCAAAAAGGCTATTTACAGCTATGCCCTCTCTAGCTTCCTTGCTGAATGAACTTTCCACTGTTCCTTGTCTGACCTGTCTGGGACATGCGCATGCTTGTTATTGACTTGTCTTATGTTCCTATCTGCTTTATTGGAATACCTTTCTAGTTGCAGACTGAAGTCATGATCTCTCGTGTTTCATCTGGGCTTGTTATCCTTGCCTGCTTCTGTCTGCTTTATAGTCTTTTGGTGCACCCTAGGTACCAACCTCAGATATCCTCTTGATATTATCTCTGCCTGCTGTCTCAGTACATCCTGACTTGCCCCTGGAAGTTGCTCCTACTTTGGATATCAGTCAGGTACATGACAATGAGTCAGACTACTGACTCCTAACCTTTCTCTGTCTGTCTACTAAGATAGCTGATTGCAAAGAAACCAGCACTGAGGAGACTGTGGCTTAAAATCAATATAAACCCCACATTGATTCCATAAGGAGTATGCTTTTATTTCATGAAAACTTCATTGGAAACAAAATTCATCCAGAAAACTCATCCAGAACAAAGTGGTATAACTATGGAATAACTAGGTGGAATGTCCGCTCAACTACGCCCCTGGGCCGGGATGTGATGGTAATCACGGTGTACTGCTGTCCCAGCCGGGGACGGTGGCGCTCCGGAAGTGATGTCACAACAACCCAGGAGGAAGCGGAAGTCAGGCGCTGGGTATGGACCGCAAGCTTGGCTGGTAACCACAATGCGTTTCTCACATATGCGATATGTCAAGTCTTAGACTTGACAAAGTGCATGCATGCGAAACTCGTTGTCGTGGTTACCAGCCAAGCTTATGGTCCATTAACAGTGCCTGACTTCCACTTCCTCCCGGGTTGTTGTGACGTCACTTTCAGAGCACCGGCTGGGACAGCAGTACACCGTGATTACCCTCACATCCCGACCCGGGGGCGTAGGTTAGCGGACATTCCATCTAGTCATGCCATGGTTATACCGCTTTGCTATGGATACGTTTTCTGGATTAATTTTATTCCCAATGAAGTTTTCATGAAATAAAAGCATACCCCTTATGGAATCAATGTGGGGTTTATATTGATTTTAAGACACAGTCTCCTCAGCACTGGTTTCTTTGCAATCAATTATCACTTTCTTCAGTGTGACACTTGCAGCCGTGGGCAAGTGGCCCCCATATATCCGGGTCTTAGTGCTTGGACATTTTGTTTCTACTAAGATAGCTCCCTACAAAGTTACAGTCAGAATGAGATCCTGGAAGCAGCCAGCTTCTGCTCTTTTTAAAAATCATAATGCTCTGTGATAACACTACATAAATGTACCCTATAATACATTTTTAAAAATATTTTATAAAACACTTGACATTATTAACAGATGAACTGAAACATGGGTTTAAAATGTATGCATTTAAACAAACCATGCTTTGATAGAGCGTGGTAGCTTATAGCTTCTGTGGGGTTTTTATTTTGATTTATGTTCCCATTGAGATATGTCCTCACTTCCTGCTAGCACAGGAAGTAATGGGAGATCTCCTCAATATGGTCACACACAAAAAGACATTTTTCAGTACAGTCTGAAATGGTAACTTTTCCCCTATCCAAATTGGAAAAAAAATATTAGTTTGGCTGGCGTTAGACTTTACACCAAAATTATTTTAAATAGCCGTATTGTAAAAATATAACTAAATGCTATATCTTGAACATGTAGATTTAATGTTGTACCTGAGCAGTTCCTGGAATCTTTAGATAGGAGGTTTGTGAGGTATTATCGTGCTCAAGATATGTATATCTGTACCCAATGGAGTTCTCAATGACAACATCAGGAGGGTCTGGGGCCTGCCAGGTTATAATGAAAGTAGTGTCATTTCCCACACCACTGTCTATAAACACAGACCCAAATAAAAGGCTACCGGCCTTGATAAGCTTCTGAATGCTTTTTATCTGAAAGAAAAAAAAACACACAAACGAAATTTATTGCTACATTTGAAAGGGGGTGCAAATAGACATAATAGATACGTAAAGGACAACTCCAAACTACTTAATTCAATAGTAATAGATGGAGGTGACTATACTGTATAAGCCAGCCTTTTTCAACCAGGGAGCCGAGGCACCCTGGGGTGCCTTCTTGGTTCTTCAAGGGAGCCGTGCAAAATGCCTAAATATTTTGCCAAATCCCCCATAAATTGTGTACAAGCCAGTGGGTGGATGAAGGCTCCCTTTTTGTTGTACACAGCCACAGTTTTTCATTGTGCAACATTACAACCTTGGGCAGTGTGTGGGTTAGCTTCCAGTGTCCTAATAACTGATATTAATTGATAAGGAGGACAATGGGCACCTGCACTGCATCCTTGTTTCATTCCCCCGCCACACCCTTCTCTGTCAGCACTGGGGCCATGTTAGCATGGGGGAGAGAAAATGAGAGGAAATGCAGGAATACTAGTCAGTACCAGTGTGCAAAAGTATATTTGTTTCATAAGAATAAATCACTTCTAATGTTTGGTGTAATGTGTGTGGATGCTGCTGCAACATGTAAAACTATTAATTACATTTTTTACATTTTAGAGAGGTGCCTCAAGATTG